ATTTAAGTTACTTGGTTTTATTCAAAGAAGTAGTTAACCTAGGAAATGAAACAATGTTTCTGAAGGCTTTGCTTTTCATTGCTAAGGTGATCTTGTCTATGACTTAAATCATCATAAGATTAATTAGACATTTATATCCTTTAAAACCAGTTATGAAAACAACCTAAGTAATAGATAAATTTCTCCTATTGTACGACTAGTATACATTGTTCTTCGAGTGCTATAACACATTGAATATGTGAGAAGATAGAATTTTCAATTGGATATCACAATATTCCATCACTAAATTCTTTTAACTTATTCACCCTAGAAAAATTTTGTGTTGAAGTGATTATGAAGACTGCTATTTATAATGTCAACTCATGAATTCAGAAGTTCACATTCTAATCTTTAATATTATACGTCATAAATAGTAAGTATAATGCGATTACAGGTGGCCAGAAAGAATAAGCAATAAGGAACTCTGGCTGGCTGGCTGGCAACGAACCAACCAAGAACCTATTACCCAACAAATATGAGCTGGAAGGAAGTGGGGATGGATTGAGCACGCACTGAAAAGACCATTCGGGGACATCACGCGTCAGGCGAGACCGTCGAGTGGAACCCAGATAGGAAATAATGAGTCGGACGCCCGAGGTACGGGGTGACATGTAGGAGATCGTGAGAGGAGGAAATGAGAGCTTGTATGCAGTGATGGAGCCAGGTTCAAAAGACTTCAGAGAAGACAGTGGAATGGAGACGTGCTACTGAAGCCCTATATTCCACTAGGAACCTAAGGGACGAATAATAATAATAATAATAATAATAATAATAATAATAATAATAATGCGACTAAGGAAAGTAACTAGAAGCCTTTTATGTTATGTGAGTAGTTTGAAAAATTCACTATCCATTTAGGAGTACTCATCAACTTGATCCTGTCAACTTTTCCAATTAGAAGTTTTACATATTTGCAAGAAGTGCTCATCCATAATTACAAACCCTGATCTGTTCAAGAGGGAAATTGTTAAGACATGATGCACATTTGGTAACTTATTCTACTTTTCGAAAAGCTAAATTTATAAGCTCTTGTGTATTACAATGAAATAAATAGTGTTTAATTTATGTAGTATTATTGCCTGTTTTATACCATTGATGATTGAAACGAATTGAAAGGTCTCTGTTGGCATACGGCCTCATATACGGATGCCTTGATATTACTTGTGTTTTAATTCTATATTGTAATGCTGAATAGTGGCCAGCAGTGGGATCCACGATGCACATAAGAAGTGGTTATTGTGGCTTGGTGGTGTAGTCGATAACGCTTTTGAAGCTTTTGAAGCCATCAATCTCCAGTTTGAATCCCGGTTGGGAAAACATCGTTCACTGGGAAGTAGATACATCCAGCTTGCAAGTCCCAAATAAGACGAAATGCGCATCTTGAATTCCACTGCTGGCCATCATCCATCATTTCTACATATTTCATCAATATAGGTGTGAAACTTAGGCACCGTTGTAGAATTATTTTCCAAATCAGATTTGTTGATTTGATTTGTAATACACAACGATTCAGCATTATCTACTCGATGACATTTCGAGCATTAATTATTACCCCTCATATCCCATCATATCAATGGAATCACACCACTTTCAACATCTCATCCTTATTGTCACATCACCTCAAATTATTGACTTCTATTGGTAGTAAAATTTTCCATATCTTCGGTGTAAGTGTTGCATCATTTCTATTATTTGTGTTGCGTATTCATTCCATGAATAATCAATCAATCAGTAATCAGTCACTGCATCTCCCCATCTAATTATATTCGACAGTTGTTTTATCCCACCCAATTGTGTGACATGTTTGGTTGTGTGTGTTAATGCATGCAATGCAATAGCTGAGGATTTTCTAGATTATTGATCGTGTTCGGATCTGTCATTCTATATTTTCCTTAAACTCTTGTATTCACCTATTCCACGTAACTCCACCACACAGAACACACTTGCATACACACATTTTTACTGTTGAAATATCCTCTCAGTTATTTTAACATTGAAGATTATTCACACTGTTAGTTATTCAATACTAATTTGCAACTTCAAACCACATATTACTGCACTTTGTGTACTTACAATCTTATCCATGATACTATATTATACACTGAGCATTATACACAAACATTGAAGTACTGGCCTCTTCACAAAGAACAATCATTCTTATTCTACTTGACCTTAACATTACCTTGATTATTAGATGGCTGTCATTGCTATTAGGGGTGTATACATTTGTTGACTGATGAGAATTATGTATAGTGTTATTTGTGCTTGTGTAGGTGAATAGGTGAGTCGATATAAATATATTGATTACTATGGGTGGAATAGTGATAGACTGATAGTGTATTGTGATGAGAGAAATTCAGATGTGTAATGATGAATGGAAACATTCATACATAGTTCATCTCTCTCGTTTAATACCTAGAGTATACTTTTAATCAATAGACAACCTTTGTATTGGTTGCTAAAATTGAAACAGAGAATGAATATGATCGACTGGTGTGGAGAATGTGTTTTAAATCATACTGGTGAGTAAGGCTAGAATAATTGGCGATTGAGCATTGAATATTCCCATTTAGACATTTAGATATGTGGGAAAATACTCCTTAAGTGACGAAATATATTCCTTTCCAATTAGATCTTCATCTTGAGCTCTACACTGATATGAAGTTTTACAATTTAATCAAATTACCAATCACACAGTGATGTTTTAGAAATGATGAATAAAGATTGGAGGAAGAAGAAGGGGAAGATGTGTACAAAGTAATCCTATGGGTGATATCATGTTGACGGTCAGGGAAATGAAAGTGGTTGAACAAACTTCGTTGGAATACAGTGGCTAGGTTTGTGAAGGTGGATTGTAATGGCTTCTGCTATGTGAAGTGACGGAGTGCGTAATTCATGTGATAAATTAATTGGAATTTGATGAATGATTTTGAAGGCTTTTCTAGTATCTACTTGATGTCCTGTGTCGACTAGGTGTTGAAGTGTGGAGCTCTCTATAGTTGTAATTTGTGCCTTGTTCAACCATGATGGATGGTGTTTAGAAATTCGACGATGGAACTGCCTCATTGTACGCCCAATGTAACTAGCTCCACAAGAGTAGTTGAATTGATAAATGCACATAGAAGTGGCAGAATCAGGCAGTTTGTCTTTATTTCTTGCACCTAGAATCGGGTGGTTGTAGAAGGTGAGACATAATTTAGCGGCTGGGAATGCTTTATGCAAGACTCTTTTTATGCGTTGTGTGATGATCTCACTGGCAATGTCACTCCTCCTACGTGTACTATTTGACAGTATATATTTCCACATCGAATAAAAATGCGGATATTCTGCTGAAGAAGCTACAGCATACACAGGGGAGCGTTGTGGAAAATCTTTCTTTTGCTTATCTAAACACGTTGGTGTGCGATTAAAACTTACCTATATAGTGACAAACAAGTGAGATGTTTAGTACGTGACACCTATCCTTCTTGAAGTTCAAACTTGTCTGTTTTGGCTCTAGATTCACTTTTTGTAGTTCAGTGAGTTTTTATCAATTGATTGATTGAAAAGAATTTCAGATAAATGTTCCCCTTTGAAGATTTTGGCAAACGTAGGATAAATTTTTCAGAATAAAATAAATTCATTGTATTTCGTCACTAACAACAATAACAAACTCCAATCACCATCAACGGGTGAAACTTAAAGGAAGTAGCCTCCTTCACCTATCTACGCAGCACTGTTTCAACTACGGGCAACACGGGCACAGACGAGGAAGTGAAAGTCAGAATCCGAAAAGCAAAACAGGCGTTCATTAGCCTGAAATCAGTGTGGAGATCTTCTGCACTCAGCATGTGGAATAAGATCCAGATTCTGAACACCAACGTCAAATCAATGCTTCTGTATGGCTCAGAGACTTGGCGCATCACGAAAGGGATTTCCAATAAACTACAGACATTCATCAACAACTGCTTACGCTCGCTACTGAAGATCACATGGATTGCCAGAAAGAATAAGCAACAAGGAACTCGGGGAACGAACCAACCAAGAACCTATCACCCAACAAATATGCACTGGAAGGAAGTGGAGATGGATTGAGCATGCACTGAGAAGACCATTCGGGGATATCACGCACCAGGCCGTCTAGTGGAACCCAGATGGAAAATGGCGAGTTGGGCGTCTGAGGCGAGGGTGACATGTAGGAGATCGTGTGAGAAAGAAATGAGAGCTTGTGGGCTGTCGTGGAACCAGGTTGAAAAGATTGGCGAGAAGAGAGTGGAATGGAGGTGTGCTACTGAAGCCCTATGTTCCATTAGGAACCCAAAGGACTAATAATAATAATAAAAATTCCGTCACTATCATTCTAACTGCATACTTCCTGCTAAATCATAAGATATATAAACAGTGAGATATAATCTATATAATTTACTTATCAAGAGGATGATAGTTCATCATACTACTACTACTATTACTACGACTTCTACTACTATTCACACTACTACTACTGCTACTCATACTAATACTACTACTACTTCTACTTCTCCTTCCACTGTTCATTTTCGTTTTTGAATCTTCTGGTAACTATACAATACTCATTTACATAAATTCAATTCCAGAATGTTTCACATCTATTCCTTCCAAGGTCTGGTTTCACTAGTCTCTGCTTTCTATTTGTCCAAAGGTAGACTTGACGTCTACCTTTCCAAGTAAATGATCCACATATTTCTGAACATAAAATAATCGCTGCTGTTTTTGACCTCTTTTAAGATCGTGTAATAAGTGAACTTGGATATTCTGTGAAGGATGAGAATTAAGTTCTGGGGAGAAAATGGAATGATGTTGAGGCATATACGAGTAGCCTGTTTTTGTGCAATGCATAAATTAAAGTTCCAGTTTATTAAAGTCTTTATTCATAAAATTTTGTTAGTTTGATAACACGGAAAGTGAAATTGATTTACTTTTATCTGTTGTTTTATTCTTAACAGGAAAATCAAAAGAATGAAGTTGTTATCCCAGTTGATGAATTCGATGATATCAAGGAGATGCTACGTCATATGTACACACCCGGAGGATGTGACATGACAGGTTTGTAGCTATTTTTGTATGTTTTCAGATTTGAGTCACGTTGTCCATCGGGTGCATAAACTTCATGCTAGCGAGTGTATGGTCATGATGCAGACTGGTAGACAAAGGGAATTAATTTTAGGGTCTTGGATCCTGTCGGCTAGGCTAATTACCTAAAAGGCTTGAAATGTATTTTCTTACAATGTTTGTGCAGCACATTGCAGATGGAGGTATTGCTTCTGTATATTTAAACCACATATGCATTTACACATGATGACGAGCTTAACTACAACAGCTGTATCATGAAAATCTAGTTTCGTATTTTCCTTCACCACTTCAGTATGCCATTTATATTCTGACCTTGAATCTCCTTGACAGATCTGAAACAGTTAAGTATATCTGCTCGTGCTTAAGATTTTATCAGTCTTACGCATTCATATCATCTCAGTGAAATTCACATTCATCACCATCGACATCGTTCTTATATGAAAACTGATAATTCTTTGTATTTCTATTGGGTGTAGTTTGATAACTCAGACATACTGTATCAAATAAGGATGGTGAAACTATCTTCTGTGATCCAGTTCTGTAGTCCAGGAAATGAAGAGTGTTTCTATGGTTTGTTATATGTCCTCTAGTATGAAAATGAGTGCTGCATAGCTAACTATCAGAAAAGAAAGACTGTCAGGTGCACTAATCTGAGCTTTCTGTTGGAACAAACATTGAAGTACAGTGGTGAGATAGGCTTTATATTAGTGAATGCTATATGTCTTATGATGACCAGATCAAATATCAGGATCAGTGATATAGAAACTATAAATAGTTGATGAAGTTAAGTTTCGGTTTTATTCACATTAGAAGTCAAGCGACACAACGCTAAGACTGACAAATAAAAGTTTCCGAACCTTTAAGAAGCGTATAATACCAAGACACAGCTAGTGGTAAACAAGACTGGTAACCTTTTTATTGATAAAAATTCAAACGTTTCTCAATATTATTGTACTTAAGAAGGGCTGGTATTGAAAGAAGTTGAAAAATTGAATTGACTTTGTAGGTATTACACCCACCTGAATGGGAGAGAAAGATATAGGCAGCAAGTGAATGGAACAAGTTTGAAAAAATTTGGTAGAAACCATTATAGCACCTTAAGACAGGTAACTACGTTTTCCTTTAAGGAGTTTCTGTGAGCAATCGTAGAGAATTTACGCCTCTTGTATTTTTAAGGTCTTATTTTGCCAGTAAGAGACAATGTTGATTCTTTCTGCATGAAAAAAGGTGTAAATAATTTGACAAATTACAGGTAAAATCTACTTGTTGATGTAATTGATGGACGGTAACTCACTTTTGCCATGCGAAATTATCACCTAGTTTACCAGTTTGTTTTACCGTAATCCCTATTTTTGAATTTGAAATGGTATACTACTGATTAATATTTAAGTAGGTGATAGCCGAGTCGGAAATAGTTTCACAGGGTCCTGACATCTTTTAGTTATAGTAATGATGGATAGTGCCTAGCAAAGGAATCCAGGATGAGCATTTTGTCCTATCTGGGACTCGTCAGCTGGATATACCTGCCGGCTCCCATCGGGACGAGAACTCGGAACCGATCGCTTCAAACACCAGAGCGTTATCCACTACACCACCGAGTCACGATAGCCACTTCTTGTGAGATGGGTATGGTTTCACTGTTATTGTTTGCATTATACTGTGGTTGATCGGACCAAATTGATCAGTCTCTATTGGCATATGGGCTCCTGTGCAGATGCCTCGATATTACTCGCGTTTCAGTCGCAATAATGATGGCTATATGTGTTATATCTGTAATAACTAAGAAGGAATTTAGACTAGATGTGATGTACACACTTTATTTACATGTTGATGTTTTTTAAAACATGAAGTCAGTACTTGGGACAGTTTATCCATATAATTTTTCTTTTATATCCTTTGCAGCTGAAACAGCTGAAAAATTGTTACCAATTTTACATCGATATCAAATAGATTCGATGGTGAATTTAGCTGAAAGAGCACTTACATTTCGTCTGAATGATTCAACTGCTCCAATGTTTCTTCGAATAGCTGATTTATATGGTTTAAATCGGTTAAGACAAGCAGCTTTGGATTCATGTGCTCGTTTGGATAATAATCGTATGGTTAGGGCATTTGAAGAAATAAATATTTCACCAGAACTGAGAAATGAAGTACTAGGGTAAGGTTCTCTTTTAATTTGTATTTAAAGTTTGAATATTTAAGAAACCAATATTTTTTATGAAATTCTTAATGGTACACTATTGGGAAGATGCAATTGCATAGGTGACTGACCACTTTGGTAGCTGAACTTATCGACTACTAGGCAAGCATAGTGTAGCAATATAGGACCATTAAGACGTTTCTTGGAATTGGTATATAAAGCTGCATCTAGTTATCTTGACGTATCTATACCTTACTGAGATTGCCTATGGTAAGGAAAAATGGAAAAATGGAAACTGTGAACCACTGAAATTTGACTCAGTGACTGAATGGTTAACGCGTTCACGGTGAAACCTGAAGGTCCTGAGTTCAGTCCCTAGCCGAGTCGTGGGTGCTTACTTCTGAGAAGTCCCATATTAGTTGGACGAAACAGCTATCCAGTGATCCCAGTTTCTCAATGGTTCCCCAACTGATGTCAGTCCATGATGAATACTACTTCTTATGCATATCAATTAATTTACTGATAACCAAAAGTTGACATATTTATTGATTTTAGAATCTATCCACTGAGTATAGTTTCAGTATACCTAGAATTCATAATCGACAGAAAACAGTGAGTAATTCACTGATTTCATATGTCAGATATTTTAATTTGATATATATTATTCATGTTTCTCATCATTTCTTTGAATGAAAAATTGACTTTAAAGTTATCTAGGAGTCACTCTAACTACAACAAATCTATGAATGGAAAATTGGTTTCCATGGTTGTTATACATCAACTTTGAGATAGCTTAAGTTTCTATTCAATAAAATTTTCACAAGTACTAAATCTCAAATCTCAGAAAAATTTGTTTATTGGATGATTAACACTTAATTTATTCTACCCAAACTTATAAAACAAGTAGAGCATTGAATATTGTACTTCATTTTGGTGTACAAAAATGTTCTTGTTGTTCAGGCTTTATGCTGAGTGGAGTGGAGTGCAGTGCAGTGCATTGCAGTGTAGGAGATCTCCACACTGATTATTTCAGATGAATGCAGGAATGCCTGTCATGCTGTCTTCCCTATCATGTCTGCTTTGACATCTTCGTCTGTGTCTGTGCCAGCAATGCGTGTATTTGAAAAGATGGTGCCTGGTAAGGTAGTTTGGTAGGTTGGTGGGTGTAGATGAAAGAGACAACTTCGTTTCGGTTCATCACGTTGATGGTGATTGTTGCCTATTGTTGTTGTTGATGCTGTTGTTGGTTGGATATCTTCATCACCTCCGTCTTCTCTACATTCACTTGAAGGAAGTCATGTTTTCGCTGTCCTACCTCACCTCTTCTTTCAACTTGTTGGTTTTCGCCTGTAGATCTTCCAGTTTGTGCTGCATGACATCAGACATCAATGGTCATCGTTGGCGAAATTGAAATCTTCTGGTGTCTTTTCATCGGTCCAACCAGCCAGCGTTTGCCTATCTTCTCACAGCTACTCACGGTTCGCTTCATAATCCAGTCCAGTCGACCATAATCACGAAGTTTATGGGTGACAGTAGGCGGTAGCCTTGTCTTAGTCCTTCCTGTCTTCACTTCAAAGGCGTCACTGAGCTTTCCATTGTGGATCATTGGACATGTGGCGTCTTCATCTAGCTGTTGAATGAGGTTGATAAAGATTTTTGGCACTAAAACCGTAGTATTGAAGCAGCAGTTGCCAAATTACTTCTCGATCGACGTTGTCGAAGGCCTTTTTAAAGTCAATGAAGTTAAGGTAGAGATCCAGTTGACTGCCATTCTATGCTCTGTTCCATGATGATACACAGTGTGGAGTTTCAGTTTGATCCGCACATGATTTGTTCTTACTTAGGCCAGCCAGCCTGTTCTGGTCGAAATTTTGAGTCCAGCGCATCCTTTAGTCTCTCCAGGATGACTTGGCATAATATTTTGCTTAGAGTGGATAGCAGTTTTTTTTAAGAATTCGTTATTTTGGATCATATTCAAATCCAAAGATACCAGAAAAAGTGGTACTACAATTCACAAACTGATGTTTATATTTAGGAATGTCGAACTAGAGTTCTGAATTAAATGAATTGTCATTGTCATCTGTTTATTACTGAAGGATATACAAACTGAAGGAGATATACAAATTGATATCATCATATTTTTAGAAAAGTATAGTTCATATCTTTTTTGAGGAGAACACATCAATAAGTTAAACTTCGAGGGAATTAATTAAGGGATATGTGTAGGTGCATTTATACGCCAAAGTGAGTATACAAATCATGAAACATGTAGATTATTCCATTTTAGTCTGTTTATTAGAAATATCACACAGTGAAATAGTAGCATTTACTGGATAACGTTTCAGACACAGTTTATTGTCCATACTCATGTTGTTAGGTAACCAACTCCACAACTTCGAGACAGTCTTTATATATTCCTCACTTGTTCTCCTTCTCTGTGATGACAAGGGTAGTAGAATTTTCCACATATCTGGGATGGGTAGAATTGTTCCTGTCACTCCATGCATTTGGTGTTGATTGACTAAAGAGAGATTCGGTTATCAATTTCTCCCTCCGCCCAACTAAGTTAGTTTTCAGCACTGTCGCCCTATCCCACCCTACTGTGTGATTATGTGTCATCGCATGCAAAGCTATAGCTGAGTTTTTCTCTAGATTTCTTATCTTATTACGATCTTCTAATCTTGATTTAGCTAACTTTTTGTGATCTGTTATTCTAATCAACCCTGGTCGACTGCTCTGACCTATGTACTTGACCTCACAGTCATTGGAAGGGGTTTGGTAAACCAGATTATTTTGCTCAATTGCATTGATAAGATCTTTTAGCTTGTAAAGCTTATTTTTAAGCGACATTGTTAGTTTAAATGCCAATTTAATCTGTGACAAGAAATTAGACACATCAAGAATACCCTACGTCTCGATAATTATCCACCAAAACTGATAAACAAATTCGTAAAAAATCGAAAGAAAAACACAAGCAGTAGTAGTAGTAGTAATACAGGTGTTATTAATAATAATCCCACTACTAATGATAATAATAGTGACAGAGTAGAGAGAAAATTCAAAGCCTCTGTTGTATTACCATACAAGGGAGGCACTTCAGAAGCATTATGAAGAATTCTAAATAAGGCTGGGATTAAAGTGGCATTCAAACCAAAAAACTAGCTTAAGGCGACAGTGTTGAAAACTAACTTAGTTGGATGGAGGGAGAGATTGATAACCGACTGAATCTTTGTTTTTCGAATCAACACCAAACACATGCAATCTAAATGATGCTGCACCTATCCCAGATATGTGGAAAATTCTACTACCCCTGTCATCACAGACAAGGAGAACAAGTGAGGAATATATAAAGACTGTCTCCAAGTTGTGGAGTTAGTTACCTAACATAAGTATGGACAATAAATTGTGTCTGAAACGTTATCCAGTAAATGCTACTATATCACTGTGTGATATTTCTAATAAACAGACTGAAATGGAATTACACTCGACTACAGTGCCCAAGTTTTACTCTTATATATCAATAACTCTGATGAACAAACCTTTTAGTTGAACTTCATGGGAAAACTTTAGAAAAAAATTCTAGAGGTCTACTGACCTACGAGAATGCTTTCTCATTATAGTATAGAGTTTTACAGCTATTATTATTGGTTTACATTAGTTTATTCTTGTTAAGGTTAACTGACCCACAGAATCAATTAAAATCATTTATGATAAGACGTTACAGAAAAAATTCCTTCAGCCTAATTGTGTTTTCGGTATGTCTGGAATACAACCTTTTCAGTTTCTCGTAATTGCATGATTATCTAGTTCACATTCTTGTCCCCACTTCCTTTAACAGTAGACAATCTTAATACCTTTACTGAATTCTTTTTTTCCAACGAGAAAAAAGACGCAAAATACAAGCATATATGTTAAACTTAAAAGTTGTAGAACAGCAAAAAACCAGAATTTATCGATTAACCAATAAACAACTACCAAGTAACCACAAAGATATTTAGTGAGGGAGTTGTGGGAATTTGGAAATATTTCAAGTTGTCATTCATCGTAGACTGACATCAGTTGGAGGAACAAAGGAAACCTGGGAGCATTGGACAACTGTTTCGTGGTAATATGAGACGGCTCAGCAGTGCGCACCCACCACCCCACCACCGTTCGAACCCACGACCTTCCGTGGCCATCGCTTTTCCATTGAGCCACTGGGTCGGAATCCAATAGCCCATATTTTCAACTTCTGTTAGGTCGCGATATAGAGCAACCACCACTCAATGTCATCGTTGAGTAACGATCCTCAGGACCATCAGGCTTTGCCCCCACCGGTCACGACTTCTCATTGGAACTTCGAGAACACCTCACGAAGCTAGTCAACAATGAGCATTTTGAGCAAACAGAAGTTGGAAATATGGACCATTGGATTCTAACCCAGTGGCTCAATGGTAACGTGCTGACTACGGAACCTGAAGGTCGCAAGCATTTGAAGATGGTTTGGGAGAAGTTCTTCACTTGAGTTTCATGCTTATTGACACGCGTCAGAAAGGCATGTCTGCAACCTCGAGGAAACTGATGTTGCTGGGAGATTTGAATTCATGTCAACCAGTGATACAGTCAGTAACGTTGACAATGAGCTATTCCGGTTGCAACTGACCTTCTATAGGAGGGAATTAGACAAACTGATTATTCAGTGGACAGTGAGCGATTACATGTTGTCTAGTCCTCAGTGTTGCCCGAGTTTTATCAATTATCTTACATGTTGGCCATCGGATGAAGAGAATCAACACCACGGTTCTGCAATCCTGCGCAAACTGGTGTCTTGTCTGGGGTCCGAATCCGCCTCCGCTAGTGCTACACTCACAAACCTAACCACTGAGCTATTTGGGCTGTGATTGGTCTCCTTCCTATAGGATCAGTGCTAACCAAGAGCAAAACTTCTGGTTGTGTCTCTGATTTCGTTTTCAAACTCCACTGAATAGTCTGAAGCTAAGGCAAAAGGGGTTTTCAGTACTTACCGGTTATCACCACTCTTTAATAGTATTTACGTCTCAGTCAGAAATATGTCATGATATGAGTGTAAACTGGACTGGCATTTAAGTATACTTTAACCACTATACGCTATTGATAAAGTGACTTATGGTTATGTATTTTTCAGAAGGACATATTAAGTATTTAAACAATTGTTTGCCTAACTTTGAAAAAGTTCAGAGAACACTTAACCTCTCTACTGATATTACTTCTTCGACAAATAGAGAGATAACTGAAGTTGTTTTCGCTGTTTATAGTTATTCTGCAACATTACATACATAGTAGATAATAATCAATAAACTTTAAGTAAGATAACTTTTGTAATTTTACTATCAACGTCCTATTATAAAGTGAAACTGTGGTTCATTGATATAGGTAGCTTACCTTCAGCCAGTTGGTCATAGGCTGGAACACCAACTAGTCCACCAGCCACAGTTTGGGCACCCAGGTAGTAAATTTATCCAACTACACTAACGTCCACTAGGTCGCTGTATGAAGGCTTTTGCTTTCATAGCATGAAGTAATATGGTAGCCTACTTGTTAAAAAGATGCTGAATTTGCTTTCAGATGGATTATTTAGAACATATATAAAAATGCTTATAGGAAAGCAGGAGATGACATTAATAACTTTTCAGAAGTTATCCTTCAGTTTAAAAGCATAATTCTAATCGTCAGAATAATCCAATAAGCAAGAATTCAGTATATAAGACGCGTATTTTACAACGCAGAAGAACCGCCATGCAAGTTAATTTACTGGCTACTGATTGTGTGTTCATCTCAAAAGTACCAAAGTTATACCTCGTTCCAATAAAATTAAAAGCAATCAGGAGAAAAATCGTACGATTTTAAGTTTGTTTTCTTTACAGACTGACGACATTTGGATAACCACTGGAAAACTGGGAGTACTGGGCCGCTGTTTCTTCCTGTTATGAGACTTCTAGTGATAAAGACACCCAACCAACAACAACATCAACAACAACAAGAGGCAACAATCACCATCAACGTGAGAAACCGAAACGAAGTTGTCTCTTTCATCTACACCCACCAACCTACCAAACTACCTTACCAGGCACCATCTTTTCAAATACACGCATTGCTGGCACAGACACAGACGAAGATGTCAAAGCAGACATGATAGGGAAGACAGCATGACAGGCATTCCTGCATTCATCTGAAATAATCAGTGAGGAGATCTACTACACTGCAATGCACTCCACTGCACTACACCACACTCAGCATAAAGCGTGAACAACATCCGAAATTTCTACACCAATGCCAGTCAACTTAGTCAGTGTTTCCATGTGATGGTTGAGAGACTTGGTACATCACGAAAAGCATTTCAAACAAACTACACACATTCATCTCCAACAGATGCCACCTACGCTCACTCAATACTGACAGTGAAGATGGAGGGAGATCAGATGACGAGAATAATAAGAGTAAGCAACAAGGAACTCACTGTGGGAACGAAGCAACCATCACCCAACAAATATGCAGAAGAAGAGAGTGGAAATGGATTGGACATACACTGAGAAGACGAATTGGTGGACATCACTTGTCAGGTCTGGCCAGGCGAGGCCAGGCCAGACCCGACCAGACCAGGTTGTCGAGTGGAATGTAAATGGGAAACGACGAGTTGGGTGTGGGGGGTGAGGGTGATATTGGGGATATGATGTGAGGAAGAGATGAAAGTTTGTGTGGAGTGGTTGTGTGAGGTTGAAAAGAGTGAAGAGAATGGCGAGTGTGTGATTGTGGCGTGCTACTGAAGCGGAACCCAAAGGAAAAACAACAATAATAATAATGAGACTTGTAAGTAATGAGTACCCAAGACTTTCATGTTCTCTGGTGAAGTCATGACTGCTTATTGCTACGGTGTGCTGAACTAGAACGTTACAGTTGTCCAATACCTCCCTGTCTCCCCAGTTCTCTATGAATCGAAGACGTGTATCAAGTGGAAACCAATAAAATACTTACAAACCTTTAAATTAGAAATTAAGCAGCCAATGTCATTACTTTCTGCTGTACATTTGACTAAGAGACTAAAAAATTTCCGTACCATTCATAACAACTTCCTGAACTGAATAACTATACCTTTAAGGTCGGTAGAATGTGAATTCCTGCTTTTAATTTCTGTTGGTCGCCATCAATTCAAACTGTTTCACAATTCAATAAAAAATTTCATTGTTTCTGGCAATATAAAGAAAGGTTGCTTTTTTCTTGAATACAACGAAGTGATTACCAAAGTATTATTTGGCGTGTACGACAAGAAAGTGTTCTATGTCCAAGGGATTAGGATTTTATATTTAAAAAAAAACACGTTGTAATCGTTCTAACTGAAATATGAGTTAGAAATTAAATTTATCCATTAGTTTATCATGAAAAACTAAACTTGTGTTTGACAACAAAATTACAAAGGTAGAAAGTCACGACAGTACTGATAAGAAATAGGTTTTAATTTCCTGTGAAACTGTTCTGATTAGATGATATATTTGTGAAAATGTTTAAAAGATAATTAATCCATTATAAAAATTTTCATGTTTTTTTTAGACGAAGAATTATGATTTTAGAGAAATGTCTTATAGACATCCAGCAAAGTTTTACGCATTCATGTTCACGTATGGAAAGTCGAGCTGAGCGTGTTCCATCCAATCACTGTTCATTGCATTCTCGACCATTTTCAACTGTTACATTCAGTTCAGTGGGAAATAATACGACTGGTGTATCAATAACTAGTGGAGTAGAGCAAAATTCTCAAAATAATGACAATGATTCTCTTCGTTATGATGTATCCGCAAGTATAATACCATTTTCAGTTGCCAGAAATTTGGAAATACGTACAAATGCAGGTAATGGACAAAATGTTTCTCCTCAAGGGGAAACTTCTCAGGCAGATCAAAATATGACCAATACTGGTCCCATAGCTTCAGCAACAGCATCAACAGCAACAATAACGACAACGACAATGACTCCAACAACTAATAATCCTCCTTTAGCTACAGCCATCTGTGAACAATGCGTAGAACAATTCAAAATGCACATACAAGAATTATGTAAAAGGGGGTTGCATAAAATACCAATAATTCAATGCAGAAATCCTTGAGTTTTAACTCCAAGATTATTTTTTTTTAAATCATTCTTTTTGAGGTCAAAGATTGTAAACTGAGAACACCAATATGGTAGATATAAAGTAGGAGAAATATATTTGACAGAGAGCAATCATGACATAACATATATTCCCATGCACCCATGTAGGAAACTACCTTACAAATTCATTTAGAGTTACAGCATGTTTCCATTCTTTTCAAGCAATATAAGTTTTTCAATGACATCTTTATGCCTTCTTTTGAAAAGCATCAGCAGGGTATTTGACGATTTTGGTGGCAGTCCATGGTTACATTTTGTTTTTGTAGTCACAGTTATTACATACTAGGGGCATTTGTACACATTTGAGCATTTTAACATGCTAGAAGGTTCCTTGTCTCTCTCTGGCATCTGATTGTGTGCCAGCCAAAATACTACTGTTGTATAAGTGTAAAATCTTTAGCTCTCTGGTTCTAAGGCAGCAGCTCAAAGGTATAACCTTTGCAAAAATCTCATGTGAGAGAAAGAAACAGAATCTGTGATAGAAAATACGAAGAGAACAAGCTTGTTGGGTACCAGAAAGTCTTCTTATCAAAACATTTCTGCTCTCAGATTCCCTGCCTAGGTTTATTAATCAAGATAATACCGCATGTATGATTAGAAAATTAAGCAGAAATACATGTATGATTACATACTATGTTGAAGATAATTATAATGAATGATAGGAAAACCTTTTTCCTTTATAACGATATTAGCTCTGCTGTTATATTCGCCAAGATAGGTTATGAATCTGTTTACATGAAGAAGTTTCGATCATACCATAGTTAACTTCTTCAAAGCAAGTTCCCAAACTCTTTGTTTTGTATCCTATGTAGAGCTAGATACAAAATATACCTAAATCTATTCATGTATGAGTTTGTCTATTCATTCGCACTCATTTAAAACAACAAATAGGTTCAAAGAGTTGAATTTATCATTAAATGAGTTTAGTTGTGAGAACGCGACACGATCCTTTTTGAATCTAATTCCACTGTGCAGATATGATTAGTCGGATATAAAAGAAACATATACGCAACTTGATTATATAAATACAAATTGTAGTGAACGCAAGCCAAAACAATTGATACAAAAGCTGAATAAGTCCTACTAATTTTAAACGCTTCGACAAAGTAGCTGAAGTGCAAAGACATTACTACCTCATATTACTATTATTATATTATTTCCCCCTTGAGTTCCTAGTGAAACAGACGGCTTCAGTAGCACGCCACCATCACACACTCGCCATTCTCTTCACTCTTTTCAACCTCACACAACCACTCCACACATACTTTCATCTCTTCCTCACATCATATCCCCATGTCACCCTCACCCCCCACACCCAACTCGTCGTTTCCCATTTACATTCCACTCGACAACCTGGTCTGGCCTGACCTGGCGTGGCCTGATGCGTGATGTCCACCAATTCGTCTTCTCAGTGTATGTCCAATCCATTTCCACTCTCTTCTTCTACATATTTGTTGGGTGACAGGTTGGGTGATGGTTGCTTCGTTCCCACAGTGAGTTCCTTGTTGCTTACTCTTATTATTCTCGTCATCTGATCTCCCTCCATCTTCACTGTCAGTATTGAGTGAGCGTAGGTGGCATCTGTTGGAGATGAATGTGTGTAGTTTGTTTGAAATGCTTTTCGTGATGTACCAAGTCTCTCAACCATCACAAAGAAGCACTGACTAACTTGACTGGTATTGGTGTTCATAATTCGGATCTTGTTCACACTTTATGCTGAGTGTAGTGTAGTGTAGTGTAGTGTAGTGTAGTGTAGTGGAGTGGAGTGTAGTGGAGTGTAGTGGAGTGGAGTGGAGTGGAGTGCAGGGCAGTGCAGTATAGTAGATCTCCTCACTGATTATTTCAGATTGATGCATGAATGCCTGTCTTTGTGTCTTCCCGATCCTGTCTGCTTTGACATCTTCGTCTGTGCCTGTGCCAGCAATGCGTGTATTTGAAAAGATGGTGCCTAGGTGGGTAGGTGGTAGATGGTAGGTTGTTGGGTGTAGGTGAAAGAGATTACTTCGTTTCGGTTTCTCACGCTGATGGTGATTGTTGCCTCTTGTTGTTGTTGATGCTGTTGTTGGTTGGATACCTTGATCACCTCCGTCTTCTCTACGTTCACTTGAAGGTAGTCACGTTTTCGCTGTCCTACCTCACCTCTTCTTTCAATTTGTTAGTTTTCGAGTTTGTGCTGCAAGTCATTAGACATAAATCATCGGCGAAATCCAAACTTGGAGCGGGCAACAGAGGGAGAGAATTCATGTGTCCAGAAGCCCCTCATATATATATATATATATATATATATATATATATATATATATATATATATATATATATATATATAATTATTACCCAAATTCTGAGGGGTATGTTAAACAACGCCTAGTTTTAAATGAGTTTTAAATATTCCCCATTACAAACAGTTAAACTTTCATCAGTCACATAATATTTTTTGTTGAATGTGACATGTACTTTGCTCTTGCATGAGTTTATGGTACTAGTTTATGTTTTCTTTTACCTTATATTTTCCACAGATATGATTTTTTCATATGCATCGATGAATAAATTCACTCAGATCATATATAATTGCTTTATATGCTTTGTCTACCTTAGAATTGGATTGATGGATACTAAATTGATCTTCTGCAATCTGTTAAATGTTTAGGTTGTCATATAAATTAGGAAGACAAATGTACGAGTAAATATGTATTCTTTTGACATCATTGTCAACCACTGAGTACTATAATGATATCAATCAAGTTAGCAATCTCTGCCTCCATTTACTTAGTTAGTTTTAAAGACTACCACTCTGTTTCACTATATTATGTAGTTGTATGTATCTGTTAGCATAGCTACAGCTGAATATTACTCTGGATTTCTTCATTTATTAGGATCTACTGATTTTGATTTAGCTAGGTTTTTGTATTCGAACAGCCTTATTGACTTCAGTCAAAGGTTGTTTATAAAACTTTGTTATAATTCCCACCTTATTAGAATTTCTACATACTGTCTTTGAAGTGTAAAGTAATAAAATTTACAAAGTCCTTCACACTGATAATGAAGTAAAAAGGAATGCATTACCTGAGCATAAAAGTATCTATATTAAGGTTGCCAAGCATCAAATCAAAAAATAAACTCAACTTAATCTACAAAAATAAGCACAAAATATGATAGAACAAAGCGACAGTAATGAAAAATAATTAAACTGAGTGGAGGGATAGATTGATAACCAAAACTTTGTTTCAAATATACGGAGAATTCTAATACATATATCCCGAAGAAGGAGAAAGAATAAGAACAATATAAAGCTTATCTTAACATTTGTAATAAATAATACTGTATCATGGTATAATAATTCTAATAAATGAAATCAAATAGAGTTGCATACTAGCACATACCACAAGTTTTACTCTCATTTTATTACTTACCTTTGTATACACAAATAGAGTATTTACAGATCGTTACTCAGAATTGTTAGATATACATTACTTGTCAGTTATTTCAATAGCCAGTCAGTCAGACAAAAAAAAACAAGCAGTCAGTGATTCAGTTAAGCATTCAGTATACATTCAAATTGGTCATTGAATAATTAAAATAAACCATTACTGTTTCAATATAAATCCATACAGTTTTATAATTTAGAGGTTTCAGGGGATTAATTGACTTGATTTTGGTATTTATCACGGACTGACAACCATTGGAAACTTAGAAGCACTGGACAGTTGCGTTGTCCTTGTATAGGACTCCTCAGAAGTGCGCATCCGTAATCCCATCAGGGGCCGAACTCAAGGACTTGAGGTTTCGTGACTTAGACATTACTTTTGAATAAGTGACTTGGAACCCATTGTTTTAAATCATCCTACTTCTATCGATTCACAACATATTCTGGTATTCATCCAATGTAATCTTTGAGTGCTTGTCCTCACCTTCTAGTTGGTTTGCACTGCTGGCCAGGACTTTACGTTAGGACTTCGTGGAATCTCATCTTGAAGCAAGTCACCAATGAACATTGAGTAGCAATTCATTTTGGAGGTTTGTAAAAATGTATTGATTAAAACCCTTCAAATGCTACTGCTTGTTCAGGTCTGATCATGTGTATTACGTTTTGGTGAATATTCACTACCTTTTGTAATTTTTGAGGTGTGATAATCAACTACATTTTACTATCTTTTAAATGGAGAGCATATAGAAGCTTATCTAATATAGTGAACACTATAACCGATGAAAATAGTATTTCACTGTGATTGTGTAGCTTTGAAAATTAGATTCTAGAAGATGGTTTTTCTACTGAAATGTTTAGTTTTTCACAGTAGACTTTTATTCGGTGATCAGATTTGTGACTTGAATTAACTCTAAGTACAATTAGGTTTTTTTCTATGTTTCTACTGATTCTTAGTACTTCAGCGGCCTTAGATGATAACATAGAAGAGACGTATTATAATTGTACTACAAAGATCATGTGTCAACTATTTAGTTGATTATATGAAGTAGACATCAAGATTACACAAGATTAAAATAAATGAACATCGAAGACTAGTCATTTGTCAGCCGAAAAGATTACAACATTTGGAAGAACTAGTAAGGAAACGGAGTGATAATCAAAAATCTAGTCAAATCCTGGGTGGCGAGGGGATTCAGAACAATGGATACTGAGTTGCCGGTCTGATGCCAAAGTGACTGAGCTAAGAGAAAGGGATTCATTGAAAGTGCTGTTGTATGGAATCAGTAATATGCTATTGGTGGGATAATGCTGATATACCGAATTATGATATAAACATATGAAAAGGAGTAATGACATCTTCAGTCCGTTATAATACATGCGACAAAGGTGATCCAGTTCAGTGTGTCAACCTCATTGGACATTGTATGGGATAGATAAAATAACCAACTAAATGAAAACAGTATAAATGTGAAACCTATTGATGTGATCTTGGGTAGTAATGTACTCCAAAATTTAAACTCAAAAATCTTATCTACAAGTTCACATGCTCCTGTGATGAAGCTGACTATATTGGACGTTGTAAGCGGGCCCTCTGAAAACGTGTTGCTGAACACTATCCCGTTTCGCTTACCAAAGGCAATCAAAAGAAAATGACTTCATCCATATGTGAACACCTTGTTGAATTAGGTCATTCAGCACTTCGAAATTCATCCTTTGAAATAATTTACAAAGATAAATTGAACTATTCCAAAGGTTCACGTTTCCACCACTTATGCATAACTGAAGCATTAGCTATACATGAACAAAAACCGAAACTTTGTATTGAAAAACGTTTTGTGAAACCATTTCCTCCACCTTGGCCTTAACAAATCATTTTCGTCATTTTATCAATTTCAGTTCACTTCACTTTGGTATACTTCTCTTTTATTATCATCATTATCGTCACCAGTTTTCACTTCATTGACAATAATTGCCTCTTATCTCAGCACTTGTTATC